ATATGCAGCAACGGAGCCAAATTACTGATCGTACAAATTTATGCTAAAATGATTGTTTCTTCAATAACAAGGTATTTTATTTAGCATACAAGTGAAATTAAGAACCGGGACTCTCCAGATGTTTTATTATGCGCAGAGGGGGGAATCAAATGTGCATGCATAAAGCTTACGAGAAAAACATTGGTGGTTTTTCAGGTCCGGATTTTAGACATTCCGGATAATGGACGTCCGGATTTTGGACTTTGCACTGTATAACATTCTTACAGCTTTCACAATAAATATATCACTTGTTGTATTCCTCTATCAATCTTTGGTTTCAAAATATTTAATTTTGAAATCAGGGACTAATTTGCTGGACACCCTGTATATTTATTAATCTTCTAATGTATTAATTTTTCAGATAGTCATACATCATTTAAAAATTTAATGAAATATAATACAAGTTCTGAAAAATTTAAATTATACTACTAATAACTACCTTAATTTATATACTATGACTAGAGAAGGAATTAGATGAGAAATGAAACATGTTACTCTGGAAAGTAATACTATCAAGTCCACTTCAGTATTAATTTGTATAACTCTTCCTTATTAATATTGTTATTGTATTCGTTTCTGTTAAAAAAATAACAGACATGTTTTTGTTTTCCAGGTTTTAAATTTAATGACACTTCTTTCAATTTTTGTTACTAACAATATATTTTATAATTACATAGCAATAAAATATTACAATTTTTTTCAGCTAAACAAATTCTAGACATACAATTTTCTTTCAAGCTTTAAGTTTTTTGACTCTCTGATTTTAGTTTTTACTCTTAACAACTTAACTTTTATTAGTATACATTTTATTAATTACAGAGAAATAAAATGTTACCATCCTCCAAAAAAAAATTTTTTTTTTTTTTCTCTGAGAGTACAACTATGACATTTTACAAATTCAGTTTAACTACTTCGCTAATAACTGTTTAAGTATTATATTCTCCTTTCCCATCTTTCACTAATATGAAAAAATTATGCAGTGTGTAACTTTTCAAAGAGGAAGGAACACAGCCCATTAAAATCTCATAAGAATAAATATTAATATTATGTATATAAGTACCATTGGATATTATGTATTTCAAAGTCAGTTCAGGTTATTAATTTCAGTAGCACTTTTCATTACTTTCATTACAGTATTCTTCATTGCAGTGTGCTTTGCTCTCTATCACTTTAATATTCTTACTATAAATCAAAAATGATTAAACATGAATTATTGGGAAAATGCCTAAGATGAAAGAAATATGCAAGCAAATATAATACTAAAAATTAATGTTTCTCATTTTTTATCCAAATTTGAATTAGTTATATGGCGTTGTGCCTATGAAACGTTAAAATCTTAGTACAGAGTGAGTGAGAGTTTATTGGCGCAAAACCAAAGATGATTAAAACGTGCCAAACACAGGATGGGATGATTACAAATGATGAAATTAAAATACAATAAATAAAAACAAGTGGGCAAATGTACCAAATCCAGAGGATGAAGTCATATAAAAACAAGGTAAAAGCACACATTAAAATCCAAGACACAATCTTCAAAAAAAATTACATTAGGTAGTAAAAGCTTTTAAATAATAAAATTAATTACAATTAGCCTCTCTTCCGATTAAACGGTCGAGAGGTAAGTCACAGCTATTAAAATGTTTCTGACGAAGACTATTAAAATATGGACACTCAATTAAAATATGACGGACAGATAAACAAACATTACAATTTGAACAAACAGGCTCATTCTCAGCTTTCAAAAGGTAGTTATGTGTCACTCTAGTGCGACCAATTCTGAGGTGAGTCAAAAGAACATCCTCCTTACGATTTCCAGCAAACTCCCAATGCTTGATTCTAGGCTTTACATTTCTCAACTTGTTGTTAAGCTGAACGTCCCAAATTTGCTGCCATTTTTTTCCAGATCTTCCTCTTGATGACACAGCAGATGTCTCTAAAAGGGATGAGGTGACTGGACAGTTCAACAGCAGATTTTGCTGAGATATCTGCAAGCTCATTTCCCTTTATTCCCGCATGCCCAGGAACCCAGCAGTACAGGACTTCATATCCTCGAATTGTTAAGTTTGTATGAACCTTAAGAACATCCACCACCACAGGATTCTGAATGTTGGGAAAAGCTTCCAACGATTTAAGAGCACTATATGAGTCTGTAAACTATGAACTTTTTGTGGCAGAGCTTTGAGATGTACAACAGACCATAATATACTGCAGTTAGTTCAGATGTTAAAACTGAGAAAGCATGGTGCAGACATCTGCCCTCTATGTAATCTTCAAATACAAATGCCATCCCGACATGATCATTTGACTTGGATCCGTCTGTATGTATCGTGTAATAACTGCAATATTTGTACCTGTACTCAGCAAAGAGTTGTCTGTAAATGATCTCGTTGATACTTGCCTTCACGTGATGCTTGAAAACATCAAGAAGCTGAATTCGTACATTTTCCCAAGGTTCAAAGTTCTGCACTGCTTGGGGGTGCATATCAGAGAGAGAAAGTTCCTCAATGACAGGGCGAACTCTTAAAGGAAAGGTGTTGTTATCATCCAAACCAATGGGCCATGGCCACATCTCGAAAACAAAGAACTGACTTAAAACTTTTTAACGGAAACTCTGTATGTATCGTGTAATAACTGCAATATTTGTACCTGTACTCAGCAAAGAGTTGTCTGTAAATGATCTCGTTGATACTTGCCTTCACGTGATGGCTTGAAAACATTCAAAGAAGCTGAATTCGTACATTTTCCCAAGGTTCAAAGTTCTGCAACTGCTTGGGGGTGCATATCAGAGAGAGGAAAGTTCCTCAATGACAGGGCGAACTCTTAAAGGAAAAGGTAGGCACACAGGATGGATGTGTTATCATCCAAACCAATGGGCCATGGCCACATCTCGAAAACAAAGAACTGACTTAAAACTTTTTAACGGAAACTTTATATACCAGCAAATAACACACTTGACTTGTAGTTTACCCATCCTCGCAGTCAACAGAACTCATTTTACTCTATTCTAATGGCCAGGAAGGATAGCCACTGTAACCAATCCAGTTGAAACAGCGACAACAGAAGCCACGGGATTAAATTTTATGCAAATTATGGCTTGTGACATCAAATAATGTGTTACACACATTATCAAGTAAGCACAGCTTATTAGGATGTTCAGGTTGAGATAGAATATTAAAATAATTGCAAGAGAGATAATTGCTCATGCCTCAGATAACGTGATGGTCCGTTAGAATCAACATACAGGCTCTGGACAGGAGAAGTCCTGAAAGCTCCTGAACAAATCCGCAGAGCTTCATGGTGAACAGAATCTAATTTTAACAAAACTGATGACCAAGCGAATCCATACACAACAGCCATAGTCCAGTCTAGAGTGAACAAGTGCTCTGTAAATGCGAAGCATAGAGCAATGCTCTGCACCCCAGGAGGCGTTCGCCAACACTTTTAAAATATTTAGTGTTTTTAAACACTTCTTTCTCAGGTGTAAAACATGAGAAAGGAAGGTCAATTTTCGGTCAAACATCACTCCTAAAAATTTTACCTCTGGCACTACTGGAATATTTGTAACATTCAGATATAACTCAGGCTCAGGATGGAGATCTCGCTTCTTACAAAGGTGCATGCACAAAGTTTTCTGTTTCGAAAATGTAAATCCCTGTTTGTCTGACCATTCTTGGATCTTATTCAGAGCTATATGCAATTGCCTCTCTACGTATCTCATGTCTGCCCCTCTACAGCTAATCTGTAAATCATCTACATATAGAGATCTCAAGATGGTGGGTAAGTTCTTTTAATACAGAGTTTATTTTTAAACTGAACAGGGTTACACTAAGCACACAGCCTTGAGGCACACCCTCTTCCTGTTCAAACATCGGACAAAACAGAACCAATCCTTACTTGAAAAGTTCTAGTGTTCAAAAAATTCTGAATGAAAATTGGTAGGTTGCCGCGCAAGCCACTCTCGCAAAGATCCCGAAGTATACCGTATCTCCATGCCTTATCATAAGCTTTCTCAATGTCGAAAAATACCAAGATGAGGTGACTTCTTACAAAAGCTTTTCGAAGAGGAGCATATTATCTACAGTAGTTCTTCCCTTTCGAAAACCGCTTTGATAAGGTGAAATAATATTATTCTTTTCCAAGAAGTAGACTACATGGCTGTTTACCATTTTTTCATACAGCTTGCATACGCAACTCGTAAGGGCAATTGGCCGATAGTTGGAGGGATTTCTTGGATCTTTCCCTGGCTTAGCAATAGGAATTACAACAGCTCTCCTCCATGCACTGGAAAAAGTACGCTCCTTCCACACTCTATTGTAAAGAGTGAGAAAGGCAGTCAGTGACTTACAGGACAGATGCTTTAGCATTTCGTAATTAACGCCATCGAGACCCGGAGAAGACCTATGTGTCTGCAATGAAGCTCTCCTTAATTCAAACATAGTAAAGTCTCTATTGTAAGGCTCAGATTTGGAAGAGCTGAATGCGATGAGATTTATCTCAGAATGCTGCTTGATGGAGAGAAATGCAGGTGAATAGTTTCTGCTGGAAGAAACGGCAGCAAATGTCTCACCAATAGTATTCGTAATTTCTTGTATGGAGCTAATCACTCGGCCATCTTTTTCCAAAAAGGAAAGTGAGTAGTCTTTATATATTCCGCATGCTTTGACAACCAAGTTAAAATAAGATAAGTCATCATCACTTGAATTTGGTTGGCTGAGTTTTATACTTTTTCCTAGACACCCTTTACATATAGGATAATGTACGAAGTCACAGCATTTATTATTTCCTTGTTTCAATTTGCAATGTTTACACCTTTTACAGAATGAATGTATGATTTTTATATGAATCATTTATCTAAAAATATTGACATTAGAAATGCCTATTGAATCTTTTGTATGATTTACAGCAACTTTGCTTACATCACCTGCAAACTCTTAAATTTGGTTTTTAAATACAACGGAAAATTTGTACAGAAACTTAATTTATTTATTATTTGCAGAGAAATATGAAATACATTTTTCCATTTTGTACTCTTACAATACGTTACACTATCAGAGTACTTTATCATTCTTATAGCCTGCCAAGTCTCGTCATTCAATGAGACAAAAGCTTATTTACCAACCACACAGTATGGTAAACTGACAGCATTTAGAAAAATTAGCCATTCAGTATAGGAGGACTTTTTAAGTTAAAGCTTATGTGCTGCTTAGCTACCTGAATGATTTCAAGGTGATTTACATATTTCTAAATAACATCTATAATAAATGAAGACTGTGTAATTTATAAAATATCTAATTCAAGTGATCTGAATTACATCTTATTGATAACTGTTAGGAATATTTGCACCATTAATTGTTATTAAGAAAAAGTATATCAAACAGTATGTGCTATGCCTTTGGAAAAATAAACAGTTACATCTATATGATTTTTGAAAGATTATATACTTAAAATAAAATATGCATATCTTGAACATGAAACAAAATACCAAAAAACAATTTTTATTTGTGACACATAAAATGTAACATGCTATTGTCAGTTTTAGAAATATATACACAGATATAGATATATTTAATTCAAAGAATCAACACTATAAAACAGTATATTAGAATTTAATAACAATGTAATTAAAATAGTTGAGCAATTTGAATATTTTAATATTCACATATAAATATTACAAAACATATTGTAAGAATTAAAAAAAAATATGAATTTGTTAAAAATATATTTTATAGATAAATATTTCAAGCATAACAAATAGCACCATTAAGTAGACTTTAAAACACATTTACTTGCCAAGAGTATTTACTTTCTACACAAAGTATCCACATAGTTATTCACTTTCCATAAAAAATTCAGCTTTCAGAAGATATTTATTTCTCATTAACTGAAGAAAAAAATCACACCAAAATTCTTTGGTAAAATAACTCTTTTGACAAACAGTTGATGGAAAAATAAACATGTGAAAACATAATTATAATATGCGAGTTCTTAGTATCTTAACATATACAAGTACAAATTTTTTATATAATACAAAATTTTTAATTTCTATGGTCTAAAACAGTTATGAACTATAAAACAGCAAATGGAACTCTTGATTAATAAAAACTACGCACAATACCTCAGTTGCAAAAATATTTTATGGAAATGATACAAAATGAAAAAAAAAAAAAAAATAGAAAAAAATTTTGGGTGAAATTTTTTTAAATTCAAACTGAAGTTTCATAAGATTAAAATATCAGACAAAAAAAGTGAATGTTTAAATATCTCTGAAAGTAAATTTCTCTGAGACAGTGATCATATAAAATAATTCTTGGCTAAGGTTATAAAGCTTGTACTTCGTGACATACTATAAATTTTTCTCAAAAATTAAATACCAACTTGAAAAACATTGCAAATGTGCCACAAAATATGAACTGCAAACAAATCAAGACAACTGTGGTATCTATAACACCGGTATTTGTTCATTCATTAAATAAAAAAGATATAAAATTGTTACTTATTTACAGCAGAGTTCTGAAAACCTAGACTATGTGGGATACATCTCATACAGATAATAAAAAAAAAAAAAAAAAAAAAAAAAATAAAAAAAAAAAAAAAAAAAATTGAAAAATGGGATTGTCATTTCTTCTGTAGACGGGGAAACTTTTTACTTCCATACAGATTGTTTACTAAAAGTGCATAAAATATTTTTATTTGCATAAAAAATGCAAGACATTTTATCAACAAAACTGAAAAATAAAATTATTTTTCATTCAGAGATCTTTAAAGAGAAAAAAAAAAAAAAAAAAAAAAAAAAAAAAAAAAAAACATAACTTGTATCAGAAGTTAACAGGAAGTAACTGACTGCAATTACTATGTGCTATAAAAAATTCCTTGCCTAAAGAAAGAATGCACATAAAATGTCAGTGATGTTTAATCTGCTTTTAGGGAAGGGAGGGACTTGTTATGGTTATGCAATGATTCATGAAGCGAACAAATACCAATATAGTATCACTATTTTTGTTAAATGCATATTCATCAGAAGATTTGTCACATATTAATTGATTATATGAAATAAATGCCTGAAATACTTATGTGATTTGTGACACATTTTTTTACTGTATGCCAATCAGCATGTAACACACATTTATCTGAACTAATTTAAGCTTCTTAAAAGTATATATCCTATTATTTTATCTTTCTGTATTATTTAAATCAACAAAAACATTAAAAACAGGCAAGCAGATTAACAATTAACTTCATTTGTCTAAAAAAATATAATTTGAATAAACAGAATTATACTTTATTATTTAACATTAAATTATTTTATGCAAGGGAACATTTGCATACAAAAATTCCTTTTACAAAATTTTAAAATTTTTTTTATACGACACAAAAATACATGTGGTGCTATTTCAGTTAATACAATTAATGATGCAATATATGACCAGTATAACTATTTGCTCATTCACAGATTAATCTTTTTCAATGGAGATATTAAATATTTTACTTAACATAAAAAAGCACCTAAAATTGAATATTTTATTCACAGAATAAATAACAGTACATTTTTAATTAACCATTTCTCAGTTCAATTTTAGATTCAAGATAGATTTGCTTGAAAATTATCTATCTTATTAACTGCAGAATTTGAAAGAAGGCATTTTTAAGATGATTTACATATAAGAAAATCATACCAAATAAAGTTTTATATATACATACCATACAGAGAAAGAGAAAGAAATTACAATGACCCTTATAATGTTGGTTTTTCTCACACATACAAGTAGTATGCTTATTTTACATAAGTACTCCCATAATTTTGGCTTTTTTTTAAACATATAAGAAGTAATAAGCATTTTACATAGCTTTAGATTTCATATTTATTATACATCTGGAAATTTTAGCTATAAATTAATACTTTGGTATGGTCTATTTTAAAACGAAGAATGATGCAGGAAGAATATTTTTTGGTATAAACAAGAAAACAATTACCCATATGATGACATACAGGTAAAACTGTTAAGCAAAAAAAAAAAAAAAAATTGTTCCTTTTTTTTTTAATCGAAAGATAAATGATATGTACTGTGAATGGAGAATTCAAACTGCTTTCCAACATACATTAAATTTATCAAAGAAATGCACATTTAGATACATATATTTGTTATATCAAATCATGTCAGATATTCATTAAAAATTTTATATGGAAAATTTTAGGACTGATTTTTAAAGATGATTAGAAAAGGTTTATATTCTGAGAACTCTTCTCACGTGTGATACAATTTCACAGTTGTTACTGAAAACTTTAAAATGTTATATATTTTAACCCAGTAAAACCCGTCGTAAACGACTCTCTGGTATGTCACTGTCATCATCAGAGCTAGTAGTATCTGATACAGATCCTATTGCTGGAGTTGTACTGCATCTTGGTGAGCATAAATATTGAAGAAGAGGTATTCTGTATTTTCCGCAAAAGTCCACAAATTTTATGTGTTCCACTCGAACATCAAAATACACCCCTAAAAAAGAACAAAAGTAAAATTTAATTGAGTGCCTTCTAAAATATATCTTTGAAAAATAATTAATACAACTTCATAATAAGTGACACTAAATTGGTAATTAATTTATAAATGCCAAATATATCACCATAAAAGTCCTACTGAAGCTTTAAATATCAGTTTGTAATAGAACATGACTAAACTATGCATCATGCCCACAGAAGTCCTTATGTGGCATTTATTTCCACAACCATTTCCATACACATATATTTTGTATAAAAATGTTTTAAATAATGATGCAAATATTCATGTTATGGTTTTTTCTAATTTAAAAAATCAATTTTGCAAAAATTATGAAATTTTTTATATGACTACCAGGTCTCTCTAGATAAATTTACTTTTAATTAGTACAGTGGAAACATTATGCATAAATGTATGGCTGGGTTCTGTGCACCATATGCAGAATTGTACTTTCCAAAAAATTTTCATATGAACAATCAGTTACTCATAGAAATTCTCAGTTACTGGCTATTATAAAATGTTTGATCGAGTATTCTGAACATTTTCCTGAAACTCGGAAGAAATCCAAATAATTTTCTTGTTTCCCAATTAAATATTTTTTTTAAAAAAATAGAAATCTTTTTTGAATCCAAATAATTTTGTCTCACAGTTAAATAAATTTTAAAAGACAAAGGAAACATTTTTTTTAAGAAAAAATTTGCTCATACTCAAAAAAATTGGCTTGTCTGCATACTTTCTTCCATTAGAATAGCATACCATGTTTACATCTGTGTCAGTTGCAGCTTCTAAATAAGTAATAAACAATGTGTTTAATGATCACTTCTTTTTCTAATATTGTCACATGCAAATAGGAATGCACACAAAACCGATGATAGCTCAAACCAATTTATTTTATCAAAAAGAACACCTTACAGTTCTCGAACTTAAAAAATGCTCGTACAAGTCTTCTCAGTAACACAGAGCACAATCAGTATTAATATAACTAATTACAATATTATATTACAATTAATCAGTAATAAAGCAAAATGAACCTGATACCAGATTTAAAATCAGTGCTACTAAATATATCCAAAAATATGAATAACTTGCATTGATTTGTATACTGGCCTAGTTTTCTCAGTATTTTTCAGGATTAAATCTATACTTAATCAAAGCAGCAACCAGATTAATAACCACAAAAAATTTCTAATTTGAAAAAAAAATATTAACTTAATGTTTGAAATCATGCAAGTTAAATGAAATGCCACTTTATCTTAAATATGTGAAGGGAATAAGCCTTTAAATGAAACAGCAGTTGAAATAATGTCACTTTATTCCAAAAGATATCAAATTTAGTCTTATAACAGCTGCAGATTCATCACTACATAAAATTATATTTCTCCAACAATGCAACAATACAAAAATTAAATTTCAAGACAAACCACTAAAATCCTGATTATATTGTTATGCAAATATCTATCCCATCTCTTCATGGGCATCATTTCACTGTGACCAAAATAAGAAGCAATTCCAGTAATTCTTAATTATATACCTCTTGATTAAAATACTATTTTATAACTACTAACAGCTAATATTTTACTACGATAACAAAATACTGATAGGAATCCTATTTCACATTTACACAAACACTATCCTTTTTGTGAGTTATGACAACCAACAACAAATAAAGAACAGATCATTTCTTGCAAGCATATCACACCCTGATGCATACATGATCATGCATATTTGCAGCATTATTGTAAAGATATCTGTAATGTCATATATTATGTATTTTATCACAGAATAATTTTTACATGCTGCATTTTCCTCTGAAATATTACCCCAAACCGACAGAACAACTTGAGTAAAAATACATATATTGACCAATTTTACTGCTATCAGATTATTTCATTTGGGAGGCAACAAAAAATAAAAAAATAATGCAGTTAGTTTTCTTTTAATTTGATAGTGCAATTTTCTTTAATAAGCTTTGATTGAATTTGTATTGATATGTGATATAGAATATATTCATGGAACAGGAATAATGAAACTGAAAAATTATATTAAACTGCTAATTCAAAGTATTCTGGGTTCAATGACTGTTCTTATTATGTTCTTTTTAATCATTTAAAACTGAAAGGATTAAACAGCAAATAATAAACACTGTATAAATAGGAGATTCAGTTGCAAATATCAGGCAAATTCTATCTTTCCCAGACATAAACAAAGAACTCCAAATCCACAATGCATTATAATCTGAAAGCATGAATAACAATATTCCAACTGAAAATGAAATGTTGCTCTTCTCTTATCAAATTAAAAAATTCTTGAAGTCATGCCAAATGAATCCAGCCACTTCTCTCATCATCATATTCATCTCATTTTGAATTCATGCCATATAATAATTGACCAAATCAAGTCATTTTTCTTTGAGATGTTTAGTTAGGCACAGCAACATTTTATTTTCTTATAAAGAAAAATTTAGTATTACATAATGTACATTAGCAATTGTCCAGGAAGTTTACCATTGCAAGCAAAAAGCAATGGGAATGATTCAGTAGGATATAAATAATTCAGCAGCATAATTTTTTAGCATAAAATCAATACAATTTGCTGTACAGTAAACACTTAATAGTGACTAACACATTTATCTGCCATACAATTTATTCAGTTTCAAATAATTAGAAATAGTGCTAATAGAAACAATTAATATACCTTGACTCAAAAATTTATTCTGGTACAATTTATGATTATTATGTACTTAATTTCATTCCATAAATTATACCAGAATTCCCACATCATTAACAATTTTCATGTTCCATATTGAATGAAACCAGATTTAAACATGAAACTACACAATCAAATTTTAATAAAACAAGCCATATTTCCAGTAAAAACTACATGATGACTGCCACTAAATAAGGTATTCTTCTATTATCAGGACCGGATTCAGAAATGTATGCATGTAAACACATGTGTATATATGTATACACATATATATGTGTGTACCCACACAGATACATATGTACATGTATATATATATGCACACATGAACACATACATGCATACATATATACATTTCTGGACCCGGTCCCTGATGACAGAACAGTACCCAAAATTACATACTATAGTTAGTTAACCCGAATGGTTTTGTCATCCTGGGACAATAATCCAGTCTAGTTTTTCAATGCTGGAAAATTTAGTTGAAATTTTCATATGAAATGCTGTAAGCTTTGTATTAAACTATTTTGATGTAAACATCTTTCATCAGAAATTCAGTCTGGGACTAGCTCTACCATTTGGAGATATACTCAAAGTACATATTTAATCATCTTAATTCTATTCTTCCCAATTTTCAGTTCTATTTTGATCTTAGCCTTTTTGAAAATTTGTAATATTATGTAAGTATATTTTTTGCATTCATATTTTGAAATCATGCACAGCTAGCTGAAAAACACTTGATATTTTAGATGACTTTACAGTTTTTACAAATTTAAAACAAATTCTACTTCTCTTTTTTTTTTTTTTTCTTGGCACTGTATATTTTGCATAAAACAAAACAAAGTAATTAATATACTGGTTTAAAAATTTCTCTGATTTTTTTAAAAGGATCAATTACAACTCTTTCCCTTTTATATGTTTAAATCCTCAAGGTGTAAATCCTTTATAGATAATAATAGTACAAATGGAATTTCATAGATGTAAAAACATGTCTTACAGCATGAACATTGTTAACCACAAGCAAATATAGCATTTGGTATTGGGCATGATGTAAGAAGCTGGGTTTGCTTCACTTTCACAAGACTATTACATGGTCAAGCCACATTAATGTAACCACCTCTGTTTGATGTCACCACTAAATAACCAATAACATAAGACGTGTTAGTAGTATAGTGTATACATACAGTGCATATGGTGTGCTGCAGGCATTTAGAAAACATTTCATTTGTTGTTATCTTCAATAAACGGAACAATTTAACAAACTTTAGAAAAAAAATTTAATTAAATTAAATTATTGTCTTTTGAACGAATAATCCAGCATTTCAGACACTGTGCAGCTAGTAAACAGTTCATGTGCTGCTGAGCTGAAAGCACACCACAATTTCACTATACAAAATAAGCAGTGTGAAACACCATAAGCCATAGTTGAAATAAGTTAAAAGCAGCTGCAGTGGTGCATTTGGGCTAAATGGTACAGGGGAGCAATTTATTACCCAAATGTACCAGAGGGCTACTGCAAATGTACCCAAAATGACAGTTCAGCAAACTTTGCTGCACATGGAGCTGCACACAAATAAATAGCAACAGCATCTATGCTAATGGCTATTCATCAGTGAAGGAGGCTGCAAAATTTATATGGAAATCCAACAGAGTTAACACAGAGCCTCCTCCACTGAGTGGCTTGCATGATGAATCAGTCCCCCCCCTTTCATTAGTTGGATGGCCATAAGACGAAAAACATCAGAGAACAAACACTTCTCAACTATTTGTGGTTGAATGCAAACTAGAGATGGCAACATTATAATTTAGGAAACATTTTTACAACATTCTCTTGGTCTATTCATCATTGTGGATAGAACTATGGGTCATATTAAGCATGTATCGATCCTTGCACACCATATACAGCCAAACACGCAGAGTATTCCCTGGCAATGATGGCATCTTTCCGCACAATGATATGATATGTCACACAGCTATGAATATGCAAAGATGGTTGGAAAAGCAGAAAGACTACTTTAACGCACTTCTCTGAATCCGTACTTTCCCAGGCTTAAACATAGTTAGAATCTCCAGGACCACATTGATCAGGCCCAGCAGCTGTCAACTGCATAGCAGTTAGCATGGTTCCATATCCTTATGAACAATAACTTACTAAGTTTCTCTCAGCGCATTTATCTGCTTTCCACACTGCACATGGTGGTTATTAACAGGTGCACACAATAATGTGACCCAAATGTATATTATCCCCTTACATTGCATACTGAAAGGAAAAATGAGAGAGAATATACAGGGGTTGGACAAAAATATGGAAACACCTTTAAAAAAACATGTTTCTTTGCTTAATATGGCGTAGGAAACCCGCTGGCATCCAAAACAGTTTGCAGTCTTCTCAGAATGGATAAATACAGTTCCTGTATGTTTGCCAAGGGAAAATTATACCATTCTTCCTGCAAAACGGTGGGAAGTTCAGATAACGATGTTGGCGGTGGATAACGAGAACGCACTTTCCGTTCCAATATAGACCACAAAGGTTCGATAATATTCAGGTCTGGTGACTGTGGTGGCCAGGGGAGATGGGACAACTCATCCTCGTGCTCAGAAAACCAGTCCTGGACAATGTGAGCTGTGTGAACAGGGGCTTTGTCGTCTTGGAAGACACCATCACCATCGGGGGAACAAAGTTTGTACCATGGGATGAATTTGATCGGCCAAAATGTTCACATAAGTCTTGGCAGTCATGTGCCCCTGACACAGTTATCATGGGGCTAGCAGAGAACCACGATATGGCTGCCCAAACCATAACAGAAACCCCCGCCATGTTTCACTCTTGGCAACAAGCAGTCTGTATTATAGGCTTGAGATGGCGTTCTCCAGACGTAAACTCGGCCAGAAGTGGGAAACAATGTAAAAGAAGACTCGTCAGACCATATTACTCGCTTCCACTGCTCTATAGTTCAGGCTTTATGACTTAAACACCACCTTTTCCTGTTACGGGCATTAGCATCACTGATGAATGGCTACTCAATTGCAGCATGGCCAGCAATTCCCTGTTTATGAAGCTCCCTTCTAATTGTTTTGGTACTCACAGGGTTCGGTAACACAACATTCATTTCAGCAGTAACTTTTGCAGCTGTGGTATTCTTATTTTTCGTCACAATTGCCCTTAATGATCGTCTGCCACGATCACTCAGGACACACTTTCGTCCGCGCTGTGATTTAGCAGATGATGTTTTTCCGCTTTTCAAATATGCGGAATAAATCTTCGATACAGTACCTCTTGAAACACTAAACACCTCGGCTACCTTACTTACGGAAGCACCTACCATACGTGCTCCAACAATTTGCCTACGTTCGAAGTCTGTTAACTCTGACATAATGCAATGACAACCTCACATAACAGTACTCCGACAACAACTGAACTGTTTAGCACATTTACGAAGTTGTATAGGTTGCGTCAGTAGTCAAAAATGCCAGCACCACCTACATATTTCATTAAAATCAATCTTTCTTTTCAAACAGGCATTTCACAAGGTGTTTCCATATTTTTGTCCATCCACCGTATGTTTAAACGTCTTATTTAAAAAGCTGATTTAGGCATTATCATTTGGAAAACATTTTTTATGAAGAACATAACAAAGTACATAAACAAATTTAAATGAAATTATGAACCAAAAAAAAAGTTTTTGTTTTTGATATCTATCTAGTAGTGATTCAGTAAACTACATGTGTCAGCATAAACATGTATGTTCTACTTTTTAAACTATTCTTTTTCATATAATTATTTTTTAAACAACATATAAATATATATGTTAAAAAAGAAAGCTTTTATACAACTAGATATAAATTTTAAAAACTATGGATTCGATGTAATGAATATTCAAAATAATTTTTAAATGTTGTCTTTCAATGCAAAGTTTAGCTTTAAAAATTTAAAAATAATTGATACACATACCTCGACACTTAGGGTTAACACACCTACAAGCACTTTTCAGATAGTACACTAAATTTGGAGGTAGATCTTTGTCTTTATAAGGAACACGAAATTGTTTTATACTCCTAGCAGCAAGTTCTCTTAGCGATGGAGGATCATATGTCATGTCTTGCACAAATCTTACAACTAAGGGATTATCACGTAAACTGAGCTACAGGAGAGGAAAATGATTTAGAACACAGATATGAATAAAATGAAGCTGAAAATACTATAATATATAATATACATATTGCAATATTTAAAAATAATAAATAGTAAGAAAATTATAATAAATTCAAATTGATCAACATAATTTCCTATCTATAATTATTACTCATATAAGAGTGATGAATTATAGCTACCTGTCATTTTGTTTAACAGTAGAAATACTGACAATTAACACACAACTATTTCAACCAGAAAAGAAGACATTTAATCAGATAACTTTGATAATTCAAGTATCTTGATTAACAGATAAAATTTTAAAAGAAAAACAGAGAAATGCTGCAGTGAAAAAGTGATATAATTAAAATCTCATACAATTTATATTAGTTTACATCCACATGATGCAATACAGTTAATATCAAACATAAATTACTAATTGCCCATTCTAAAATCACACAGTTAACACTAAATAATTAATTCCTTTACAATAAAAAATAAACTGGAGTGTTTACTTCAAAGATTTTCTTTTTGTCATATGTCAAGTTTCACTTGAAAACATGAAATATATCAAGTCACATAATTTATTTCAGTTCCTTCAAAAAGTAATGAAAAGAATAGGCAGTGCTGATTAAGACATTTATTAAGCTTGTTTATTTAGGATATGGCAAAGCACAAAAGGCCTATGTGTCTAATGGAAGGGATGCCTTCATGAAAAACTTTCTAAGGGAAATTGGTTTGCATTTTACAATATGCATTATGAAAACCTCAAAATAGCTATGCAGCTAGCCTTTTCACCAGTATTCGAACTTGGATTGAACTACCATATTCAATGATTTTAAATACTTGTTAGAGAGGTGTCTTCTCATTCTTTGGTTCTTTCTGTTAACCTTTTCTGGATGGGCGTCCCATATACACATTCCCTAAGAACATCTCTTAAAGCTTGGCACAGAAACAAGGGAAATCCTGTCACTGCAATACTTCATCGATGGCATCCGAGATACTGAAATACAGAAAGCTCTGCAAATGACAATTGACACAGGAGCAAATGGCAGATGTGAAGGACATAAAAAGCGCTCTGTTGTACGCCGTGAAAGTCGAGGCAGCCCAGGAAGCAACACGTAGAGATCGCTACCCAGTCAGAGCTGTGAGAGTCCATGAGCCAGTGGATCAATTGATGGCTCATTTAGATGATTTATCCAGACAAGTCGACGCTTTGATACGGAGTAGCAGTGAGAACAAAGTGGCTCTAAGGTGTTGGAGATGTGGTATTGAAAGGCACATATGATGGCAGTGCAGAACACTCCAGGGCACGGATAATAAAATGCATGATTTGACAAGACCAGTGAATGCCTTGAGAGAGAATACTGGTGAGAAGAAACCAACCCTAAAGGCCCTTGAAGGCCACATACGAAGAAAATGCAGAACATCCCAAAGCACGGAAAATAAGAGAGGCGGGTTAAACAGATAGGGATGGAAAAAAACTGACAAGGAACTAAAGTGCTGGAACTGTGGAGCTGAAGGCCACGAACTAAAGAATTGCAGAACACACCAGGGTACGAAAATTGAGACCATTTCTCAACAACGACGCAGGAAACAAATTAATGACCATATCAACGAACAGAGGTTGCCAGATAATGAAAAAACTTGCTTTAAAGCACTCAAGATTTCTACAGTGAGTGGGAACAGTAACGGACTGTCCATCAATGAGCATATCAATGGAGTTCCTCGCAATATGATCATTGACACAGGAGCTAATATTACCATCATTAGGAAAGATTTAGCTGAGAAGTTTAAAGGTAAACTTATTTGGATGCCATCCTGTGTTACCCTTCAGACTGCGTCTGGTGACAAGATCGACATAACTGGGAAGTTAAACGTAAACATCACGTTTGGAAGTGCCGCCTACCATCACACGGCATATGTGGCGGATATTACAGATCCATGCATACTCGGATTGGACTTTTTAAGGAAATACAATTTTTCCTTAGACTTGAAAAACAACAAACTGCTTTCAGGCATCTAAAGATATGACTATCCATCCTAAGAAGGGATCCTCACCTGGAAAATGCCGACGCTTTGTCCGAAAGAACCAGCTCGGGAAGAAACAGCCGAAAATCATGCTAGGGTCGAAAAGAAACACCAGACTACCAGCTATTCTCCATCTCAGATGCTCTTCGGTCGAGACCTTCGTCTGCCTTGTGACCGCCTGTTTCATCGCCGTACGGATGCGCCTTCATCGCCTGAGGAACACATCCAAGATGTCAAGGCCCGTTTTGAAGTGATGCACCGTTCCGCACGAAAGCGAGTGAACTTAGCGACGGAGAAAGTGAAGACCAGATACAACACGAGAGCTGCTGGACATAGATCCAACGAAGGAGACAAGGTGTGGTTGTGGAACCCGATTCGACGAAAAGGAGTCAGGCCTGATTACAGTCACCTTGGGATGGTCCGCACACAGTCTTAAACAGGCCGAATGGCGTCGTGGTTCGGATCCGCGAGTCTTCGAACTCTAATCATAAAGTTCATTGCGACAGGTTAGCTCATTACTATGGCCATAGTACATAGTGTAAATAACGTAAATAGTGTAAGACCATGGTCCTTTTTGTTTCTAAATGTGTATTTGATTTTATTTGTATTTAGTATTTGATAGCATTTGATTTGTATTTAGTATTTGATTGCATTTATTGTTCATTTTTTTTTGTTTGTTTGTTATTGTAATGTAATGTTTATTATTGTATTTATGCCTTAGTTGTAAGTTTGGCTTCCTGTCCAGAGATTGTACTGCCTGAGACGTGCAGTCCTTGGGAAGGGGGCAGTGTTACAGATTTGGTATTTAAATAGCTAATGTTATTTGAATTATAAATTAAATTGGTTTATTCCCCGTGCAGTGCAGCGCGTGACGAATATTAAAGGAAAGCTAAGCCGGAAAATTAAAAATACAAGAGCAAGTGCATCTAACATTTAATAAATAAACATCTCTTTTTGATTTCGAGAAAGTTCCAGAAAATTCTCGCGCGCGATTGAAATCTCATAAAAGGAGGAAAACCTCTCAGTTCATGTGATTTTAGTTAGTTACTTAGTTTGTTGTTGTTTTAAGAGTTTGTTTAAAAAACTGCTCTTGTTGATTGTAGTGAATTCGCGGATTAGCTTTCTTTAGCTGTTTTGAATTAAGTTCTCTTGAACATTTGAGTAGTTAGAAGATACTACTATGATATATTGTGATACTGCATGATTATTTGAGGACATTTAATCATATTTGTTGTGATAATAATAAATTTTCTTAATTTTTCATTGGTCTTGTGTATTCATTTCGTAACAAACCCGTATGCACGCAACAGTATAATGAATATAATATATAATGCTTAATATACACAATGCCAAGTCTGTGCATAATGACAAAGTGTGCAATTTTTTTTTTTTTTTTTGGGGGGGGGGGGAAACATGAAAGTTAAAATAAACTTGTCACTGGCTACAAAATTAGCAAAAATCGACTATAGCAATTGTAAATCTAAGATGGAAAATTACCCAACTGATGTCTACAATAATCGCATTATTAAAGACAATCTTTTCAGTACAATAATGCGATATAAACAGACTACCATATTTTGCACTCTGATGCATAGTTGGCAACTAGTGCCTCCTTATTAAAAAATCACCCCTTTTTATGAACCACATATTTAATAACACAATAAAAATATTTCCATAATTACTAAAATTTATGCAGTATGATCTTGCAGAGCATTCATAATAAAAATGAGCAAATATACAGAAATACAAGCAAATTAAAATCCTTATCACCCATACTTAATCTTACTATATTCATATTTGTTATAAACAAACTATAAAATTTCAACAATTTCTGTATGAGCTGTTAAATATGGTAATTAATACAAATTACTCCTTACAGTGCAGTTAGATTTAAAAAGTCAAAATTATGTAATCCTGATAATGGTTATAATTTGGTAAATACATACTGTAAACACAAAATAGCAAATCATTGTAAATAAATTGAAAAAGAAAAAAAAAAATTGGGTTATTTTTGCATAAAAACTTCATAATAATTCAGTAGAGTATAAATTTAAATAACAATAATACGAAAAGTAGAAACATGCACATTTTTCACAGAAAATATATTAGATAAAAGACAGAAGTAAAATTTAAATTTCATTCAGCATATATTTAAAATAAGGATTGTTCAACATATAGTATGAGATAAATAGTTTTTTTCTCTATCAAAGCATATAATTCTGTTTTTTTTTTTTTTTTTTTTTTTTTGTTTTGTTTTTCATTTAAAATACTAAATAAATGTTAATTTTACCAATTATTATACCTTTTATACGCAAAATAACCTTTATACCTTTTATACGCAAAATGTATCTATAAATTTAGATACATATTATTCTGCATATATATATATATATATATATGATCTTAAGAGAAAGCTGTTATTTTAAGGAGTAATATGAAACGTACTTCAACAAGACCTTTGAGAGTAACTATTTCTGGTGGCAATGTGGTTAACTGATTTTTATGTAAAGAGAGTGATCTCAATCGACGAAGGCAAGATATCGTTGAAGGCAAGCTCTGAAGCTGATTCTCACACAAGACGAGAGATCGCAAAAAGTGCAATCGACCCATTTCGGCAGGAATATCCTTCAGATTGTTGCCACCAAGATAGAGAACTTCCAACCTAGAAAATATCTTAAGCATTAGCTAAATATCAAACATAATAATAAATATTTTAAATGTAACAGTCATATAATAGCAAGTTTGAAAGTAGGACAATTTAATAAACATTTATATAGTCTGGAGTTCTACACTTCCTCATTCTGGATTTTTTGAAAGAATGCAAATTTTCAGGAAATTGTTTCTTTGAATATAATATCTTGTCTTCTATAGAAATGCTGCAACAGTAAAATACCTTAGTAACCGTGGTAAAAATGAACTCAACACTACTGCATTATCTGCCCAATGCTCCTGTAAGCTGCTAATCGTTGGCGACTAATTTTTCGCCAACCTAACACATAAAAAACAGTAGACATTTTAAAAAATGATGATGCACTAAAACTTATAGACAAAACAACAAATTAATGAAATAAAAAATGTAAGAAACACCCATAATGAAAGACTGAAAATTACAAAAAATAACAATAAATAAATTAAATTAAAACATGAAAACATCCATAATGAAACACTGAAAATTTCATAAAACAACATTCATAACAAAACACCAAAAATTACATAAAACAAAAAAAATTACTAAATTAAAAACCCAACAAACATGTTGTGCAAATAAACAGTACATGTTAAAAAGACAAAGGAAATGTGGGATTATATTACTGATCTGAGATTAAAAAAGTCTAATGTGTACACCACACGACTTCCTGATACAGAATATTAAATTATACACACTTTTTGCTGCATTTCATTTAAACTTGTTTCCCTGAATTTCATTAGAGATATATTCCTCATTCAATTAATTCCATTCTCAGTTCGTGGCGAGGCAAAAATACATAAAACCTCAAAATATCTTCATTAAAAATTGAAAAATATAGAAAAAAATAAAACATCAAATACAGTTAAAACAATCAACAATTACAATTAGAGTTTCTATGCAAAAACAAGCAATTCGGCCAGCAGGCAACAAGGCATATTTTTTGGTTCGTAAAAATGAAAATTTCATTTTGGTTTCACTGGGCAAAAAGGCACTGAAAGTGCAGAAACTGAATTCACTATTCTGCTAAATTTCAAACATAAACCAATGTGGCTGCTAAGGTAAACAAAAATAATAGTAGCACTTATAATTAAATTGTTGATAATTTTACAACTATTGCATGTAGATTAACTTACGAGAAAACATAATTCGATAATTTTTTAAAGCAAAAAATGAACAATTTTCCTACATATAAGAATAAAAAAACTGAGCTCACTGTTACATAATGTAACATAACATAAAAGGTTGTTACATAACATAATGTTATAACATAATCATAAATAAATATGATAAATTTCTATGTACATTAGTTTTTTAATAATAAGACGTACGCATTTGAGAAACGAAGCGGCACGAGGATAACAGAGCAGCAGTTAGGGAAGAGAAGAATGATGCAGTTAACTCCTCAGCAATATATCTGAGGTTGTTACATAACATAGAAGATTCTCAAATTTGGGAGAACAAATGAATTTAGAAGGAGATCACCAAATCTAGAATCATTAATTTTGAAGACGAAAATTATTTTTAAAGCAGCTATCATATTTTCTTATATCTTACATATATACATACATAGAATGATAATAAAAGCAGGGTTAAAAAATAGCTAAAGCCATAAAGAACATTTGAATAATCTAACTCTAGAGATTACATGTTAATATATATCCAACAGATAAGAATAAAAAAAACTGAGCTCACTGAGCTGAATAACAGAATGGAATATATGTAATGTTCTAATGCATAGAAGAAAACACCGGAAGTTTTAATGTTCTAATGCATAGAAGCTTTAATTTTATATTAGCTTTATATGAATAGAGAATATTTGTTGAATTCAAATATATATATATGTAAGATATAAAAAATACAGTGGCTTTGCGCAAACTGGCAACCTATAATTAACTTTCCGCAATTTCAGGATCTTCCCCCTAGACCAGTACTTTTCAAGAACATTCTGGCATGTTATATATAACCACTAGTATAAATACTAAGTATGTGCCATTTTTTGTCAGACTGCTTTCTTCTATTGCTGCTACAAGACCTTGCTGCTGTTTATCCCATCTTTCTTCCCTTTATTAGAACAATTATCACATAGAAAAGTATAAATTTAATCTTACTTAGTTAAATCACTACTGAATATGTAATTTAGAGAATTTCATCTAAAGGGAAAGTGAGAATTGAATAAAAAAGTGGAATCTAAAAAGCTAAATCCTTCTTTGTCATCATTTTGCAGCCTTCTACTTAGCCACAATGCCCGGACTCTGATGTAGTTATATCGCCTAACTTTATCATTCGTGTGCTTGCCAGCCAAAATATTACATATATATACACTTTTGGTCAGCCGATTGCAAATAAAAAGGGAGGTGCACAACTAAATGTTATAGCAGTCCTACATACAAAATTTCAACATTATGAGGCTACTTTTTTCCGAGTTATTCGAAATACATACACACATACGTACAGACGCCACAAAAAAAATCTCTTCTGAATCCATTTTAAATCAGTTTTGTAATTCATTTAGAGAAAAAGAGTCCTTTATTCTACCCTTACATAAAAATGTCATGCAAAAACATCGTTAAATTGCATCGATAGCGGTCAAAATGGATATCTTCGTTAAAATACAATACCCAGAATTTTTCATGATTACATTACTCCACTTTACTTCTTACAAGGAAGTATTTTAATCATGAAAAATTCGAAGTTATTTAACTTCACATTTTTCATGAAGTTAAATACAATGGCATACTATACAATATACACTCATTACAATGGCATACTAATATCATATTAATATTGGTTTAATAGCAGTTTTACAGTTTTTCTTGTTAAAACAGTCACCCCACAAACTTTTGGTGATATCTAAAATGCACATAACAGACTAGCCAATTTTAGCAATTAAGTGTCGTAGCCACTTTATCAAGTTTTAACAAGTACAAAGTTTTTATTTTGATCATCAATCACTGGCAAAAAAACATCGGACCCACTTTTGCCATTAGGTAAGTAAGTGTGCCATTGGTGTTTTACAGCACAATGTAAGAGATTTGGAATCATTGGGACTCTAGCAACAGTATATCAGAATAATCTGGATTTCAGATCATCCAGAAATCCAGCATGTAACTAAATTTTAAATCTAGTAAGATCGCATATTGACATAGCAATACTGGGGCTTCACTTACTGTTTATATCAGGTAGAAGAATCCAACCCCTTCCCCAAGAGAGCTAGCACTAAAGCTAGGGCGACAAAATTTTTAGAATTTAAAGGAGGACAGAGAAGCAAAAATGTGGAATGGCAAAATTTTTAGAATTTAGGAGAGGCACTACCCAGCAGAATTTAGGGTGGTAAAGTTTTAGAACTTAGAGAAGTACCAGGTAGAAGAATTAGAACCAGCAGGAAATGTATTGGATGGCAAAATTCATATTGTTGGCCATGCCAAACCACTGTAGGGCTGAAAGTGTCATCTTGGGCAACAATAATACAACGTCAATTAATGTACACTCAGACCTATCTTTATATATACTCCTTTCCTTGCAATTTTTTTTCTTTTCCTTTTTGATGAGATTTCTTTTTATGCGGTATACAAAAAAGGCCCATCAAAACTCATAATATGAATAAAAATTAATTTAAAAAGAAAGCAACAAATGGCTGATAGTTTCAAAATAACATGCAATCTAAAAAGAAACCAACAGATGACCTTTTGATATTACACCATCACATAATAAATTGATACCATTTCTAAAAGATCTTTTAAATTCTAGAATGAGCTTCAAACCTGTAGGTCTGGTTACCGCAACACATACAAACCAGACAACCATCATCGCTAAAAGTGATCACTGACTACACCATATCACCACGTGTGCCAATTCTGAATGAGTGCAAGTTTGCATCTTCAAAAGACAGAACTGATTTTGAACCACTTCTCCACATGAAAATAAGCATTCTTGACTATGAAAATAATGGGTGAAGTGCAGAATCACCCACTTACATGACACATATCAATGTGTACATGGACAAAAACAAGGGAGTGCGGAATGCCAAGTTTGTGCAAATCTGATTTTTTTTTTTTTTTTTTTTAAATGAAAATAGGTTGATGTGTACATGGCTACTGAGTGCATGCAGTTCTTTGACCTGTTATTTTCAAGTTGATGCAAAATCGCCCACTTATCTGGTGTGTATCAATGTGTACGTGGACAAAGTCAAGGGAGTGTGCAATACCAAGTTTGTGCAATTCTCTGATTTTTTTTTTAAATAAAAATAGGTCAATGTGTACATGGATACCGAGTTTGCACAATTCTCTGACTTGTTATTTTCAAGTTCGCGATTTTGAGAAATGCACAAAGCGGTGGGCGATTCTGCACTTTCCTCCAAAATAATTATCATGTACATATTATAATTTTTTGCAATATTAAAAGTAAAAGCAAATAAAGCATCCAAAAATGTTCCAGTTTCTAAATGAAATTTTGCCTTGTTTGGAAAACCAATTTTTAAGTATATCATTCAGATTCCGAGCTATTTTCTGTACTGGACTTTTTTATGTGGTCATATTTACAGCATAATTTTTTATAGCTATTTATGAAATTTCAGAATATTTTTTATGCATTTTCTTTTGTGAGGCCCCTACTCCTGTACAAAAACAGGTTTGAGTGTACTGTTATTGGCTAAAACAGCCAGCAGGTGTTTGAAAGTGATGCACAGGAATTTCAGTTTATTGGCAGAAAAATTGCTTTAGAGCACACTTGAATTTCTTCAGTATTGCATTCTCCACTACTAGAGTTAGGAATTTATTTATTCTTTGGCTGGTGGTCCAGATTCAGAGTAGCAGCTAGGGCTTTCAGCACCCGGAAACAACAAAATTTTGTCAACTCATACTTTGTCAAGAATGGAAAACAACTAAAATTTTGTCATATCAATTTGGCACCCCCTAGATGCTGCGTCCTGAGACAGATATCCCCTTTGAACCCCTCTGGCTTTGCCCTATCCAGATGTTGGACTTCGTACTGTACCATTTCTCTATATTCACCTAATAACAGAAAAGTAGTTCCAAAATTTGTTCGCACAATTTCATTATAAAATTTTTCACTAAATTAATCTTCAATTACGAAAACTTCCCAATTCACACTTTTTTAGTTTGTTTATGCAATATTAATTGCAATGCCAAATTACAAACACATCATTACTTGCAAGTTACTGTCTGAAAAGTCATAGATGGCAAGTTGTCACTTAGCAAAAGATCAACTGAAAAAAACCTGCCTTATAAAGTAAAAGTTCCACTGCATATATTTATGCCAATAAAAATATGATAAAACTATAAATAAAAGCAGAAAAAGGTACTACCTTATTATAAGGGCCCTCAAGACGAAATTGCTTATCAATCGAGATATCTCGCTACATGTTTTTATATCTTGTTACATGTTACATCTTGGTTGATTAGCGACTAAATTTTGGAGGCTATAATAAAGAAGTACCCATAAAAGATAGAAAATTAATTATTCAAATCCTACCATACAGGTAAAACAAAAATTTCATTTCAGAGAAATTACAATTCTTTGCTGTATTTTTTTAAATAAAATAATAAAAATTCAAATATCATTTGGCTTTATATTTGGATATTTATTTTACAAATAAGTTCTAACTGAGAGAGTTTCTTGAAATCTAGGCAGAATGTTATAAACATCAACTGAAATTATAAATTTTAACCACACCTTGCTTGATGACACTTCTCACTAAGGGCAATCTTCCTGAGAACGTAATTAAATAATTATACAGACTATTACAAATTATCACATTAACCGCTTCCCTTACAAATTTTTTTGAAAAAAATTGCAAAAAATCATCACATTTTTTTTTTATTTTATTATTAAATACAACAAAACAAAACGAATCAAAATATGTAGGTTTTGAATTTTTAATTTTTTGAAGGTGTACAGGCATTTATTTTTAATATTAGTTTACTATCCCAAGTTATCTCGGGCAAACGAAAAAAAGTTAAATATTAATCTTTGTATGATAGTTTTTGAAACAAGGGACAACACAAAGTGATACCTGACGTTCTACACTGGTATCTGGTCTCTTTTCTTACTGGCTTACCGCTGGAAATCTCTCTATCACGGGAGCACAGAAGTGCAATGTCTTCGTTGGTATTTGATTTTTTTTATTATTATTATTACTTTTTTCCCCACATCTTCATAATCACTATCTGGAAAATCATCGCTTTCGCTATCTTTCCATCATCGTACCATTATTTTATTTTTTTTCCAACATGCAAGGATCCTTCTTTATACATTACTAATCCACAAGCCAATGTATACTATACGATAGGGAAACGCGATCAGTCCCTCCAAAAAAACCGCACAACCAACAAAATTTGGCAGACTACCAATCAAAGCTGAATATTTCCTTTTATTTCCTCCAGATCGAGTAAAACCGTGATAAAAGAAATCGTACTAACAATATCTGCTTCGCCTGAGTTTTCTCGGGTTCTAATTAACTGCAATATATACGAACCCGAGATAACCAGGCAAGCGGTTAAGATGAGGTCACTACAGACCTGACCATATTTAGGAGGTATTAAATTATATCAAAATAATGACAGAAAAAATACCACTTTAACTGTGCACATATAGATTCTATGCAGGTGCCCAAATTGACCAAAACACCTATCCAGTTAAATATTGACAAGAATTATAGACACGAGTAAAGAAACATATTTCACTAAAATGATCGGTGGAATTAAAACAGAATGCTAATGTACGAATATTGCACAATAAATAATGAAAGAAAAATTATATCTAAACTAATTTAATGAGTAATAAAATCAAAGGACAAGTAGAAGTATATCTTTAAAATTCTTAGCAATATTTCATTCAATGTTCTGACTTTTGAAAACTTGCTCTATACTGCTGATTAATTTTTTTATTTTCTAAATATTTTACACTTATACATAGTTTTTAAAAAATTTAATAAAAATATTATTTAAAAATAAAGTTAAAAAACACTCAGTTGTAACTTTTAGATTACTTTTACAGTAGAATCTAAATTGTCTTGATACATCTGAAACCCACAGATTATTAAGCTTAAATATACAAAAATCAAGTGACATTACTTTTCTAACTTCCAAATATCTCGTGGTACTTCTTCAAGTTGATTGCCACCCATATACAATGATTTCAAACTACGAATGTCGATTATTTCTGGAGGCACCGTTTTGAATAAATTTCCACTTAGGTTCAATTCTTCCAGATTATGGAGCTGGCCGAATTTTTTTGGAAGTGAAAAATCTCCTAGAAAATTATTTCGAGCAATTAATATATTTAGTTGAGTCAATTCAAATACAGCTTCATTTATTTCAGTTAAAAAATTGTTGCTTAAATCAATATGCTTCAAATTCTTAAATTTATTGATATTTTCAGGAATAAAATCCAATCTGTTATGTTGAAGATACAAATAGTGTACATGTCTCTTACAAACGTTTCTTTCATCTTCGTCATATTCATCAGGTGCCTTGAATATTTCCAAATTGTGATGTAAAGTAATTCCATCTAAGTTCAAATAAGACAAATCTAACGAGTACTCATTGGCATGATTGTGATAATATGACCAATTGGCTACATCCTCATGACTACTACTGGGAACCGAGTTTCTTTCTCCTGAATTATTTACTTCATTTTTTCCTTTCTCTTCTTCATACTTGTAACCTTCGGCCATCATTAAAAGCAGAAGTTAAATTATTACTTTGAAGTGATTTTCGAGTTTTTCAACTAACTCGATATGGGAAAAGAGTCATATTGTTTATCTTCGAAAAATTGCCTTAAAACAGTTACCCATCATAAATTATCAAGAGAGAGATCACACGATTAATCGGTTCCAGTTATATGTTGTGTTGCCAGCGCACGAGTGATGAATAAGTGATAAATAAAGTCAGAGAGATAGACTAAGTAGACAGACGTCTAGTTTTGCACCCACTAACTCTTTTTGCACCGATTAGCGAAAAATCAAGCTTAGGTGCGAAAAGATGGGTATATAGAAAGCGGCAATTTCGTATTCCAGAGGAGAGTAAAAAGGAACTCGTACTCTTTATAAAGAAAAGGAAAAGAAATAGAAAATTTCTTAAAAATACAAAAAAGTAAAAAGTAAAAAAGGAACTTGTACTCTTTATAAAGAAAAGGAAAGGAAATAGAAAATTTCTTAAAAATACAAAAAAGTAAAAAGTAAAAAAGGAACTTGTACTCTTTATAAAGAAAAGGAAAAGAAATAGAAAATTTCTTAAAAATACAATGAGTGTAGTCAAAAGGGGAGGAAGCTGTGTTCATTTACAAAAAATAGTATCTCCCAGGTGTGTGTAGTAATGGAATGAGTAGGTGTGAGAATTATGTAAGCAATAAGATAAACAAATTGATAGTCTGAGAATTTCAGATCACCTCAAAGAGGAGTGTACCAGTAGAAATTCAAAATATTAATAAGAGCTGAAATTATAAAATTAATGAAACTAATGGTATTTGTACGACGATTCAAGTTTAACATCTGCTTACGCTAAACAGTCGCAACAGGACTACTAGCTTTAAGAATCAATACCAGAAACCTAAGCAGTAAAACATAAAATCAAATATATAAAACGCCCAATACGAGGGAATAAATTCACTATTCTAAACAAGGGGCATATTTAAGAGAGGATGCTAATGATCTGCCCGCCCTCAACATTCAGGACGGGCATCGCAGTCCTGAATTTCTTAAAAGGCTCTGGTCTCGTAAGTGTTTTGGATATTGAATTTTTTCAGTTCTAAGCACTGAGTCATAAATTCCTAATAAATAAATTTTCAGTAACCAGTTGTTAGACAGCAATGACCTCGATGAGTCAATGTCTTATTTTATTTCTGAAAGCCATATTTCCCATTTCAAGAATACAATATTTGACTATTTATAACTAATTTTTTTTATAAATGTGTAATGATTAGACGACCAATCAGTGATCGCAACAAAAAACATATCCAATTATCAGCAGAGAAGGCAAAAATAAACTTTTACGGCTGCCATACGATACTTGGTTCCTAAGCAACAGATCTCAGTACCCATAGTTATTTACCACCTTCCAGGATAAGAAAGCAGTAGTGGCGCAACAGTTTTCAACCTTACGGACAGATGGAGACACAAGACAGCTATAACAATGAGAGTCACTATCGATCTCCACCCCTACAACGAATTTTTCCTCTTCTGTTTGACTGTTGTTGCGATTAGCTTCCCCCCGGGGTTGACTCAGGCGAACGCCTGGGAAGTACTGATTAGGATCTGTACCTAGGCAGTCTCAACCACGGGGGTATATAATTTGGCTTCACAGGACTAGAACCCGAGTATTGTACTCAGGTTGGTTCAGGCTTGGCAGGGATCTTACTGGTACTGTCTCGTGCCTGTTCCTTCGGCTGGGGTGGAGCTAGATCGGAGATCGTCGACCGAATCCCAGGGAGGGTTTGACCCCATTCAGTTCCCGTGGCGGGGACTGACAGAGTGGACAGAGCACCCACAACAACGCACGTTTTACCAATGGAGTGGTGGTCGGAGGAAAGGTGACAAAGTTTTTTACATAGGAACGATTCGTTCTGCCCAATGCTTTGTATAAAGCCGGGTGGGATTGCGCCCGCGAGGATGAGTCTGATGACCATAGATATCTAAACTCTGTATGGGTCCGCTAGATATGGACCAGGGCCGGAGATCTATGTCGTCTGGTGTGTATGATGCGATTAGTGTATCTGAACGGTATAGTGATTAGAGACGTAGACTAGTCTACCGATAGACCCGGGTTCAAATCCTGAAGAAAGCACTGATGTTTTCTAGTGCTGCGGAAAGGGGTACTTAAAATACACGGTGACCTGAATGTTGTCTCCAGTGGTTGGTGGCAGGAGGAGAAGGACGGAGTCCCTCAAACCGCTCTCCTGGATGCACTTAATCAAAATAGGAAAGGATCTTAACAGTTAACATAGTCCAGTGCTAATATGCTTTCGGGAAGGCACATGTGCCGAGCTTGCTTCAAACTGTAAACTGTGCCAAAAAAAGGGGGGATAGTTCTATATCTCCCATTCTACTGGGCCGATTGACGAAATTCAAATTGCATTTTTCATGTCTCGAAAGCGCGACTGATGATATGTAATATATTTATATATAGCATTGTTCTAATATAGGTATTTTAACACAAAATCGGACATTTTCTGAAATGTCAATTTCTCTTCCATATTTCGAGTCTACGACTCAAATTATGCCTAAATATTAAATTCCGTAAACATTGGGGCGAAGTATACGGAGAAATTAAAAAATTTGTCTTGGCGCATTTTTAAATTTATATCAGCCTATTTTCCCTTTTTTTTTTTTTTTTTTTTCATTGTACACGAGCGAAAAAAAAGGTCACTGTTTATACTTTCAAATAATTTTAACAAAGTTCGTAAACCCCATTTAGCGTTATTATCGCTTACAACAAATACGCCAAGTTTCTAATATGTAAATTCATTTATATCTTAGAAAACTTTAAATAAAAGACTCTTTGCAGGTGTGCCTAAAAATACATCTATTTTAAGATGATGTTAAAAATTTTATAGGTTATAATACAAAAAATGTTTCGAAACATTTGTAAAAAATATTTAAAAATACAAATTTTAAAAATAAGTTATAAAAAGGTGTGAATTATATTTGGATTAATCCTAAATTTCGAATTCTGGAAGAAAGAATCAAGTAAGTTTAATAAAAAAAGAGATATTAATAAATGTATATCAAATTCAATTAACTTTGAAGAGCTAAGATTTTGAGAGCTAATTTTCTAGAAACTACTCTTGCTATTTTTACAAAACTTGGCAGTTTGGTATAATTTGATTCGTAGAGTGGAAATATGGGGGGGAAATGGCATATCATTTCAGGAAAAGTCCGATTTCGGTGTCAAAATACCTGTGTTAGAATAATGCTATATATAAAGCTAATACATATCCTAAGTCGCGCTTTGAAAAACGCCAGTTGAATTTCGTCAGTCGGCCCAGTAGAACGGGAGATTTGGAAGTTTAGCTTGTATAATTTAGTCCTGTAGGTATTTTATATATTTATCTTAACTTTGCAGCTATTGCGAAAGTATTAGAAAAATATCCGAGTTGTAGAATATTTCGAATTACAGATATCAGACCCGTTAAAAAAGGGCGGAAGAGAAGAAGACATTAAATTTTAATGCATTTCATCTTCAGAAACGTTTAGTTCCATTTTCTAGAAAATTTTGAATTACTAAAGTTTTATATTTAGATGAATCAGATTAAAAAGTAAAAATAATAATAATAATAATAATAATATTTTTAAGAACTGCATTTATTACTTTTAAATACTTTGTTAATTAATAGCAGATAGATTAAATATGAAAGAATAATATCTTATGTTTTTCCAAATGGCAACAGACTCGAATGAAAGTGAAACAATGTAAAATCGAGTTTCGAGACTAAGTGTTAGGGCTCCCTTATTGAAAGCTATTTTTTTCCTACAGATTTGGTTACTCAGATTCGATTAAGTTCTGTTAAGCGATATTTTACTATGTTAGTCAATTAAAAAACAGCATTGTGAAGAATGTAGTAAATGTCCATTTATCAGAAGTGACCTATTAGAATGTTTAAAAAAAAAAAAAAAGCACAGAAATGTTTAACACATTTAGCGATTGAAATCATGTGTTATTTTGTACACTGTCGAAATATAAATTGTTGCCATTTTACTTATGGGAACCTTTTAATGCAGCGAGAAATACAGTAAAATAAAATATTCAATAATTCTTTTCTTTCTTAAATAAGAGCAAAATTTTCCAAGTGGCGTTAATTTGCAATGAAAATGCATCATAGCAATTTCCTCCGCCCCTTTCTGCTGTTTACTATCATTTTTTCAAAAATCACATTTTAAGTATATAGTTTTATATTCTCTATCTTGAATTTCTCCTCATTAACAGCAGTATTAAGTAGCAGACAATAGTAACTACTAAATAGTAAATCAATTATAATCATTAAGTTTCAGGTGTCAAATTGGTATTGCAGATGTTAACCTAAACGCGAAGGTCTGGTTATCCTTCGTGGAAGGAGGCGAAATAAATATTTGATGTAAAGCAAATAAGAAAATTTACTTTTCCATTTATTGTAGAAAATATTTCGACAAAGATTATGCAACTGTAGAAAGTAAACTAATTTTATTTCCTCAAAACAAAACATAAAGCACTTTTTTTAACAAAATTAATTAAGTAAATTATTTTGTTACCTTAATTATACAAACATTTATAGATGAACTAAAATGAAGCAATGAAATTAATTTTTATTTAATTAAGTCCAAAACTGTATAAATAACAGTAAATTCATAAAGAGTACGTTACAAGAAAAAATGGTGTAATATTGAAACAAAAAATTGTTTTTCCATTGACTTTTATGTGATAATCGTTTACCGCACATTGTAAGCCAGTTTTATCCGTCATAATCTTGATTTAAATAAATGCATTAACCTTTTAAGAAATATTGATTATATTATCTCCTAATATAAATTTAGTAGAAGTACCAAAGATGAGTGAATCCATATGTAGGAAGTTTAATTCCGAAAATTGTGTTTTAAAGTAACTTGAATATAAATTATTAAAAAATGTTTTACGGGGACTTGAATTAAATCATGACTAACAAAATTTCAAACTTTGAAAAAGAAATTAAAAGCAAGTAATCATCGCTATCGATCGGAAATTAGGTGACTTTTCAAGAGGAACAAACCAACTCCCCTTCAATGAATAATAATTAATAAATACGAAGGTGTTTCGTCTTCTACTCAAGTAAGAATGGTTATGCCAAATTGGCAAATTAAGTTAGGCCAAATAGTTCCGTGAAGTGATGGGATTTAGA